CCCCCCCCATCATCTCTGTTTTTTTCAACATCATGGTTCATGTGAATTTTAGGGCTGTGAGCGAGAAGGCAACAAAAGTGGAAGAGTGTGCTAGGACTGTCCCCCTTCACCTCAGAGCTGACGCAAGTCCTTGCTGTACATTTGGGGCAACCTAAATCCACAAGGTCTTTCCTTACAAAAGATTGGCTGATTGCTATACAGAGGAGGGATGCTAACTGACTGTCACACCTAACTTAGAATAGTTCTGTTACTTCTGGACTCTTCTAGTAATCATAAAGCTTAAGGTCTACACAGGATTTCTAGGAACTTAAAATATACTGGATGTTTGCGATGGTCAGGCATCTTCACTGGATGCTGGCTAGTGGGTAACCAGTGACTGTTGAGTCAATAACTGTCTGCTTCTGAAAATGCCATGAATTATGGAAGTGGTCTAATCTAAAATATTTTGTTATATCCTGATCAGTGTAAGGAACAAAATATAAATGTTTTACAGTGTATTTTTCTACTTTTAGCTTGTGTCATTTTCTTTTTGTTTTTAACTTTGTAGTATATTAAAGCTTTTTTATATGGTGGAATAGACATTTCTTAAATATTGTACGGATATGAAAATTCAGAAGTCTTGGTTTGAAAAAAATTACATTCCATTTTGGAATCTGTAATGGCTGGACAAAGGATGTGCGGACTAATTCATTGTCGCTAATTTAGAATACCTGTGGAACAACCAGTCTTCTGCTCATTGTTAAATGTGTTTGGGATGTTGAACTTAGTTTATTTCTTCTAGATTTGCTATAAAAGTTTATTTTAAAATTCTTTCACTTACTCTAATTAAACCTTTTCTAGGTATCACAGCAGTTATAGAGCTGTACACTTACTTTTCCCAGCACAGTAAGAATAGAACATTGACCCTGTTCGTCTTAAAACTGTGTTTGTACTTTACCAAAGGTTTTAATTTTTTTTTTTTTAAATCTGATTATTGGTGGAGTAAAAAAAAAAATGAAGAGCTGGGTGTGCTTCAGTCAATCAGACCATCTTATCAGGAAAATTTTGTTACACCTTAAATAAGACTACTTTAATGAGTAAGTGGATTTGTCTGGCTGGAGTTACTCATTTTACCTTATTTAATTGATGAAAATGTGACCTGTCTGCAATAAAATGTGCACTGTCGTACTTCTATGCTATATCGTTTCCCCTATGCTCAAGCACATCTGTCCCTAGAAGTATCTCCCTTCCCTGTGGAAACAAGATACCTGGTTTTGATGACTCTTCAAATACGTAACCATTATAGTAATGCTTTGATTGATAGAATTGATAGATTGATAGAATGCTTTAGATTCCTCCGCTTGTTGTTACTGGTACCAAGTTTCTTTCTATGATGTTTTCTTCCCAGTACTGCTTTTACTAAGGGTACTGTTACACGGATTCCCAGGGGAACCAAGTAGTTTGCTACACTCCTCGTAGCACGGCTTGCTTTGAACCTCGTGGCTTTGAGGACTTGGGGTAGTTCTGGCTCCTCAGAAAAAGCCCACTGTACCTCTGGCTTAGTGATACGCTGCCACGCTGCACGTCTTGGCCTGGAGACCCCTCGGTGACTGCCCAAATTAAGTGCATTAGCACAAAATATCCACGCTCTTCGAGCTAATTCATCCCGGGGCGTAGGAAACGTAAGTTTCAGCAGTGTGGAAGTATTGTCAGTGTGTAAGTATTGTACCTGGGAGTTCGATTACAAGCTGAGAACAGCAAAGTATCGATGTATCAGCTTCGGAGCTAACCCTGTGCGCCATAATGTTTAAGGCTTGCAGACGGTGTGTGCTGTTGTGGTTTAGTCCCAGCCAGCAACCAAGCAGCCGCTCGCGCACCCCCTGCCCCGGTGGGTGGGGGAGAGAATCGGAGGAGTAAGAGTGAGAAACACTCCTGGGTTGAGATAAGAACAGTTTAATAAGTGAAATGAAATAAAATAGTAGTAGTAATAATAACAATAATATATAAAGCAAGTGATGCACAATGCAATTGCTCACCACCCGCTGACCGATACTCGGACAGTTTCCCGAGCAGCGATCGCTGCCCCCCGGCCAACCCCCCCCCAGTTTCTATACTGAGCATGACGTCATATGGTATGGAATAGCCCTTTGGCCAGTTTGGATCAACTGTTCTGGCTGTGCCCCC